GGTGGGCATTACAGTAACCAAATAATTCTACCTGGTCCCAGTTCACGTAATACATCTGCTTCACTGTTAAAATACCTGATGGTCAAGAACATAGATTTGCTTGGGATCTGCGCGCAATTAGCAAAATAGTTACACCTCGCTTCCCAGTAGTGCCTAACCTGAATCCCATCCTCTCTTCACTGTATTATATTTATGATGTTTTTCTTTAGTGTCCCATTTCATAAAGATAGTCCACATGACTTTCTTTCACCTGAGAAAATTAATAGTACACATGGACCCAGGAATTCATTGAAACCTCATCACACTTTTCCAAGTCTTAAATCAAGATTCTAAGGATATCCTCTTCCCATAGGTGATCATTCTGATCCTGTATGTAAATGGTCTTGTCTTCGGTTCCCCTCATCTGCATGATTCTAAGAATGACTGTAAACATCTACTCACTGACACGGCCAAGACATATCAGCTGAAGGAAGGACAGTATCTAAGGAGAGATTACAAATTAATTAAAATTACCCAAGACCAACCACTAAAAGACAGAAAGATTTTTTGGATTAACTGGGTATTATGTACAACGGGTATCAAACTTCTCTGAAATAGCCAGGACTCTATGCAACGTGACTAAATCAAACATCTTAGAACCTCTCCCATGGAAGGCAGAAATGGAAAAGGCTTTCTGCGATCTCATGACATCCCTTCTACAATCACCTACTGGATCTCCCAGATTATCAAAAACCTTCTTTTTGTATGCAATGAAAGGAAAGGTTAGGTTACTATCCAAAGCTATTAATTCAACACGGCACATATCAAAGATCCCTTGCCTATTATCAACCTGTCTTGTGACGCTGTAGTTACGGTGCATCCTATTTGCTTTGGAGCAAACGCAGCCTCAGCTAAATTAGTGGCAGTATCTTCAGATCTCACACTAGAACTTTTAAATCTGATGGTACCATATGCAATTCATATTACTGAGAACACCTATCATTTTTCTGCTAGTTAGTAAATGAATTATGAAATATTGTAACTTTTGCCTTCTCATATTACTATCATTTGTTGTAGCACTCTCAAACTAGCAACTTTATTATTTTTCCTAGAGGTATAAATAATAATACCTTATGAAAAGACTCCTGAGGATTGTGATTCTGCCTATAAGATTTGGCCAATTTGAGGTGATCATCAAAAATTTGAATCTCACTTTGGCTGACATCATAAATAATTGAGTCCAGCCCTGAGGCCTCAACGTAGTTAGTTATGGATAGCAGAATAACCTGGAGTTCACGCTGTTGATAATACTTCCTATTTACCTGGATTTTGTTCCACAGGTGAGGTGAAATAATCTATATCCAAACGAAGGGAAAGGCAACCTGGCCACCCAGTGTAGACTCAGGAAGTTGTTGGGACTTGTCCTCAAGCCTGGGAAATCTTGGGTCATGGTTTCTAAGCACTTTCTAGTGCCATCTTAAAATATTCTTAATTATTCTTGTTTGTGTCATAGTTGTTTAGTGTCTGTTGTCCAGAGTCACAAAAGCACATCGATCAAAGAAAAACCAAGACAAAACATGTTGACTGATATTCAACTGAAAACCAGACCTCTGGAAATGAAACCTCACCTTCAAGAAGAATCAGGAACAGCAATAGAACTCTGGATCATTCCTAGAGTATTTTCTGCAAGTCTGTCTGATGGAGGATTAAAAAGGGGGACTGAGAGAAAGATTTTCTGTCCTTCCAGAAAAAAATCATTGTTATCTGACAACAACAAATAACTACTATAACCAGTTTTAAACGCATCCTAATCAAGCCGTGACAACCTCGCATCAGTAATCACACTCCTGAAAACCAGCTGACTAGCAATGGCCTCCTTTCGATGAACAAGCTCCTGAAAGTCAGCCAGTCACCAACGATGTCACCTGCTTTCACAGTTAAAAGTTTAAAAAGATCCCTAAACATTCTCACTTTTGAAAAGCCACCAATCCCTGAACTCTGTGTTCCAAGACCCTCCACAGGAACAACACTCTGCACAGCTGAGAGACACTGTGCTTTAAAAGTACCGCTCTGACCCACTTACAAAGCAAGAAATCCAGCTTCTTCGTTTTAGATTTTAAGAAGTGGCCTCTGCCTTCAACATAATTATAATATTATATTATTTGTCTGGATTTTGTGTTGTTGATGATGTTTGTCAATTTTTTTGAAGCTATGACTTTTGTGATTTCTCATTACAAGTAAATGTTTATTTTTTATCCAAAAATAATTATTTCATCCAACAAGTATTTACTGGGCACATACTACAAGGATACAATGGTGAACAGAAACAAAAAATGGCCTCCACTCTCATGGAACTCACAGTCTAGTGGGCAAAGCCAGACATCAATCAAATAAACATACCAAAATACTCAAAATATGTAACCGTGTCCACTCCACCCATGAAAGAGTAACAGGTATAGGAACTGCTCTCCCACCATAAACTATTAAAAAGTTAACAAAATACATCAAACAACTAATTTCAGATATGGTATATCAGAGAGAACAGAATTGTGATTCCCTGAAAGAAGGGAAACAAATGAGGTCAGCCCTGTTATTGCCCTATTACTTTCTGGACAGAGTTTCTAGTCCACAGTGTGAGGGCAAAACCGAATTGAGGAGATGGAAATTGGAGTTCTGGGATAAAGAAGTGGCTAGAATTTGCAGGGCAAAGTACTCAAAATGAGGTTGCTGAACAGAGAGAGAAAAAAACGCCTCAGTGACCTATGGGCTAATAATAAACAGTCTAACATGCATGTAATTAAAGTCACAGAAAAGAAGCCCCAGGCATAAAAATATTTGAAGAAAGATCATCAAAAGTTTCCCAAATTTGGTGAAAACTATTAAGCTCACAGATTCAAGAGACTCAACACATCCCAAACAGAACAAACTTTGAAAAACCATACAAAACATAACATAAGGAAATTGCTGAAATCTCCTGATAAAGAGAAAGTCTTAAAAGCAGCCAGAGGAAAAAGGACACATTATCTACAGATAAAACAAAGATAGGGATTACAGCAGATTTCTTTTCTGAAACTACGCAAGTCAGAAGAGAACACAATGCCTTTAAAGTGCTGAAAGAAAAAACCTGTCAACCTCCAATCTGCCCGACGTCCACTACCATAGACAATGCCACCCTTGCCTCTTGTCTCAACTACTGGAATAGTTTCCTAACCCGTCTCCCTACTTCCATCCTTGGCATCTTCCAATCCATTCTCCAACAGAAATCAGATTAATTTTACCAATATGCAAAAAGGATCATGCAACTCCCCTGCCCCACCCCCCAAAAAAAGGCTGCCTATTTCACTCTGAATAAAATCTACCAAGTAGATGTGCCTGGGTGTGTGAGTTCCAAGTGTGAATCATTTCCTCCCAGTGCATAGGCAAGAATGCAAGGGATACCGTGGGAAAAGCGGAGCCTTGATTCTTCTCTTTGACAGAAACCATAAAGCGCTGCTTCAAGTCGCCTCTATTCTATAATTCTGGATACATGCACAGTAGGATGGTCTCCTATAAACCCGACATGTGGCCCAGCAAGAGGTCTTCTGAGCCAGAGCTCAAGGACCTATTGAGATGAATGCTCCATTCCAGTCATGGCAAAGCTTCACCTTTTATGGGGGCTTCAGAGTATAAAATGACTGCTTTGTTGCTTAGGGTCCTGGAGTTGCAGAGGAAACCAATTCCATTTAATGCTTTAAATGAACTTATAACTAATAAGGGTCTAATACTGTAAACGGTAAAATCTTTTCCCTTGGCAGGCACTTCAAACAACCAACTCAACAGTGGCAGCTAATATATCATTCAAAAGACACTCATGTAATCAATTAACTCATTAGATTTGACTATTCAGCCTGTTAATCCAAATTTAATCATCACCTCAAAGCTGGTTGATCATTACCAAGTCTACTAAAATGTGCCATTGAAACAATGCCCCCAGGAGAAATGTACAAAGTCTCAGCCCGGCATGCACAGGCTTTTTAAGAAGGATTTTAAATCTTACACCCCTGCCTCCTCCCTAGCAGCTCTGTGCTCCCCTCTGGCCAGTTTCCTCCTGCTAAAATAGGGCATTTCTATGGTCTCTGCCAGCTCTATGTGCCCAAGGTTTTCCCATGTTCAAGGCTCCAGTGTACATGATCTGACTTATTTGCAGCCCAAAGTCCACTTAGGGATAAGGCAAGCATCAAACAATCTAACATATGTGTAATTGGAGGCAAGAATTCCAAGTGAGGTTGAAATCTGCAATAATTCTGGTGGCCCAGGTACACAACCTCAGGCTGCCAAAACTGGCTTTTAAAAATGTCTGAGTGATTGAATCATACCAAACTCCTTATTTTACAAATGAAAAAACTGAGATCCAGAGAAATTTCATCTCTTCTTCTGATTTTCCTACTTATCTTTCAAGATTCAGCCACCCACCCAGAAGCCATCCTGACCACTCCCTGCTGTCATCAGCACCAAATATTTCTTGAGTGTCCATTATGTGCCAGCCCTTGTGTAGGAACTTGGGATTTACTAGTATACAATTGTGATAAAAATCCCTGCCCTCGAATAGCTTATGTGATAGCAAGGGGATAGAAAAACAATAAGTGTAATAAGTAAATCCTACAGTATGTGGAAGGCAGTAAGTACTATGTGGGAAGAGAATAGACTAGGAAAATGGAGATTAGGAGTGCCACAGTGGGGGTTGGTTGGGTTTGCGAGTTTTAAATAGTCAGATAGGCCTTGTAGAGAAGGTGACAGTTGACAAAAACCTCAAGGGGGTGAGGAGTTAGGCATGCAGCTATGTGGAAGAAGAGTATGCAAGGCAGGGGGACCACACATGCAAATGTCCTTAGGTAGCATCGTGCCTGTGAGTCAAGAAACAGTGAGCAGGCCGGTGAGAGGTAAGGGGAGGGGAACTAATCACGCAGAGCCTTGTGGACCACGGTAGGGGCTGAGCAGAGTCTGAGCAGAGGAGTGACATCATCCGATTCCTGATTTCAAAGGCCCACGCTGGTTGCCATACCGAGAACAGCATGCGGTGGACACATAGAGAAGCATGGAAACCTGATAGCGGCTATTGCAGTAGCTCAGGTAAGAGATAAACGCAGCTTAGGCATAATGGCAGCAGTAAAGTGAAAAGTCATGAGAAGTGGTTTAATTCTGGCCATATTTTGAAAAGAGAACCAACAGTATTGGTTGATAGAGTGGATGGAGTATAAGAGAAAGAGAGAATGTTTCTGAGGGTTTTTCCTTTTTTTTAAGTCTAAGCTATGCTCTTAACCACATATCCCAATTCATCAGAATGGGTCATAATTCTGTTTTTTCCATTTCATTCATTCTGCACTACCTGGCTGAGGGCAGATGTGGTGCTGTATTCACCTCGACATTCCCAATGCCTACTGCAGCATTCAATACGTATTTGCTGAATAAATGAACATTAAGCATGGCAGATATGGATTCACATCAGACCCCAAACTGTCTTTATCAGCTTCCTACCAAGATATGTTTTGCCTCAAGTCTGAAAGTCCATTTGCTAACTCAGAGGAAGCAGTACTGAGATACGGAGAGAGAACAGAGTCCTGCCAGCAAGATCTGAGTTTCCATAATAAGTGATACCTGAAGTCACCCTGTCCCCGGATTTTCAGGTGTGTGAGCCCATGGGTTCCTTTCGCTTAGGCCACTTTGGGTTGGGTGACGCCCTTGAAACTAAAAGCCCTACCTTATAAATAATTAAATGATATATAAAAAAAAAAAAAGAAAGAAAAGAAAGTCCATTTGCTGATGTCTGTAGAGAGGCAAGGTCAGGTCCCCAATCTAAGAGAGTTCAGGCTCCACATGCTGGTCTCCCTTTCATGGCTGTATTAGTTTTCTATTGCTGTGTAACAAATTACCATAAATTTAGCAACTAAAAATAACACACATTTATCATATCAGCTTTCCAGGGCTTAGCAGTTCAGGCACATGGGTCCTCTGCTAGGTTCTCACAAGACTACAATCAAGGCATCAGCCAGGCTGTGTTCTCATCTGGCGGCTGGACTGGGGAGTATTCAGCTTCCAAGCTTATTCAGGGTGTGGGCAGTCAACTTCCTTGTTGTTGTAGAACGAGGGTTGTAGCTTTTTGTTGGCTGTTGGCTGGAGGCATCCTGCTCCTAGAGGCCACTCAGTGTTAGTCCTGGCATAGTATGGCCCCCTAAATCTGTGCTGTCCAAAATGGTACCCACGAACCCCATATGTGACAAGTGTGACTGAGGAAGTGAATTTTGAATTTTTAAAAAAAATTTGACGAGTTTAATTTTAATTTAAAAATCGATGCTCAACTAAGTTATGGACAAATTTTTATGCGTCTTTGGAACAATGTGGCTACATGAATCCAATTTTTCAACTAAATTTGATGAAATCTAGATACTGATCAAGTATCTCCACTGAAAATTTACTGTTCAAATGGAGATACGCTGTTAATTAAAAAACCTACACCAAAATTCAACGTCTTAGTCTAAAAAAAAAAAATCTTACTAATAATGTTTATACCGATTACATGGTGAAATGATAACATCGTGTGTATAGTGGGCTAAAAATATTATTAAAAGTAATTTCATCTGTTCCTATTTGTTTAATTTTTTCTAATGGGTGCCAGAAAATTTAAAGTTACACATGGGGCTCGCATTCTGCTGCTGAGAAAAAATACAAAGACGCACCACCCAGGGCAGCTAATAATGCAAGGCAATAGCTGATTAACGTCAAACCGAAAGTAGTGTAGACGCCCAGAGCATGGAAAGGCGGGGACATCCAAGCCTGGGCGAGTCTTCGGGACCAGGCGAGACCAACGCACCTGTCAAGTTTCGAGCGGACGCGCCGCGGGACGCGCCGGGCACGCCCCACCCCCTCGGCCTCCTGCGTGAACGCGCTGCGCCGTTTGACCCCGCCGCCGCGCCGTAGGCCGCGCTGCACGCCGGGCGGGCGTGATGGCGGACGTGTCAGAGAGGACGCTGCAGCTGTCCGTGCTGTTGGCCTTCGCCTCCGGAGTGCTTGTGGGCTGGCAGGCGAACCGGCTGCGGAGGCGCTACCTGGACTGGAGGAAGCGGAGACTGCAGGACAAACTGGCGGTGACGCAGAAGAAGCTGGACCTGACCTGAGACCCCGCGCCGCCGGCCCCCGCGCGGCCGCCTCGCCTCGCCCACGCGGGGGCTAGGTCCGGCGCAGGTACCAGCCAGGCTCGCCTCCCACCTCCGCCCGTCGAGCCGGGCTCCTGCCGCAGTGTGGGTGAGCAGTACTTAAGGGGCGCACTACGGGCAGATTTCAGAGTCGGGCGGGCATCTTGCGGCGTGGGGGTGGGGGGACGTTGGATAGCTCGCAGGAGGTGACTTGCGCCCACAGACCCCAGAAGAAGGAAGTTGTTTTATTTTTCTTAATAATTAGCACTTTGGTGTCGTAGGTCAGTTCACTGCTTGTTTAATGGGAATGTCTTACCACGTGTAGTGTCGCTGCACCTTGACAGTAAACTTCAAAATGGAAAATACTAGAAAGAACGAACCGTGAAGGTGTTCTGCCACCCTTTTTTCCCCTTATCATTCTTTTCAGTAGTATCTTTGGTAGCAGCATGCTACGTCTTTGCATTCACGTTTTGTAATCTCCAACCTGAATTCTTAGGTTACCGGCAGCCTGGTAAAGTGGAAAGAGCAGGGCCTGGAAGTCAGGACCCCGTGCATCTAGTCCTGGCTTTATCATCAGAGCTGTGCGAATTTTCAGGGTCTATTTTCTTACCTGTAACACCGGATTTTACAGTTCATAGGATAATTTGAAATTAACCACTACGTACTTCTAATTTTTTTTCCCCTCTTTGTTTTTTTCCAACAGCTTGTCGAAGATGCATAAAGAACACTGGACAGAATTATTTTTCCTTGCACTTTATGAATCAATTTTATTTTTAAAATAAAAATATTTTAAACATCTTTGAACCTTTTATTAAAAGGAAAAACAGTATCTTGCCTGCCATGCAGTTTATTACATCAAGAGATCTGGATTCTCAGAGCCGATATGTTAGTGTTTTTGAGCAGATGTCTTATTTCTTAAGGAATCTCTGCTAGTTCTTTGGTACAATGGCAAAGCAGAGTTGGCCTAGGGACCATTATGAGTCCTTTTAGTCAGCTGTGTTACTGGACCTATTCAGAGAAGTAAGAGGCTGTGTAAAAATAACTGAGGTAATAACATATATGTAAGATCTTTGCACTTCCAAGAGTCACAACATACTCCAAGTACAGAGTATACATTTTTATTGGCAAAAATTTCATTTATGTCGTTATGGAATACACATGCGAAGGAGAAACCCTCTTGAATAGAGTTTAGTGATAAATCCCAACTATATTTAAAAATCAAGAGTGAGTGACCAAGTCCCTGGTTACTTTTGATTTGTAAAAGATGTTTTCTAAAACACTACCCTGCTCATCCCTATAAAGATTAATTTTGTGTCTCAGGAAATTTAACAGCAGCTCCATATTAATGTAAGAAAATTCAGAAAAGTTGTTCCACAGAAAGCTGGGATTTTTTTTTTTTTCCATTTTACTGAGGCCCAAATGCTTTATTACTTCCAACTTTATTTTCATCTGTGAGTGCAGTACTCCAGGACTGAAATATTGGTTCTTAGGCCTCCATCCCATCTGCGCTGCGGTTTGCTGAAGTGTCCTAGTCACCTTCCTCATTGAGGTTCAAAGAGTTGAGGCTGTTGGAGACAAAGTGGGTTTCTTAGGGCACATGTTGCCGCCCCACTGTTGGTATGTGTCCAGTTAAGCATTTGGGTTAAGGTCTGCGTGTTTGGGCCTATTTATGTGCCATGTTCCTGGTGGACCTGGTCATGCCAGTGCTGATTCCTTTCCCTTATGTGTGCACCCTGACACACTCACCTTCATCTCCTGTCTCACCTCAGTGTTGTGTCATCTCTGCCCCTCTGCCCCTGGAGTCCCATCTAGGTTCTTAGGTGGTTTTCAGCCACCCCGTGCCATTCTTAATCTTGCCCCTTTTTTGCCTACTACCTCTTTACACTGCTTGTGTGCTCCCTGCCCTGTGGCAGGCAATTCCCCTTGACATTGCCTCTGTTGCTGTTTCTAGCCGTCTCCCCTCACCCTGCTTAAATGTGTTTGTTGTTTCCCCTGAAAATACTGCCTCACGTGGAGATGTTACTTTTTCCATGTTAGCCAGAATTGGCAATGAGGACACTGGGAGACGGATGATGATGCCAGTCATGTAGCCTGGGAATGACACTGTTGACTTGAAATACGTGTCTCACACGCCTCCCTTCTGCCATTTGTCACTGTTTTAATCACAGCAGCTGCCTATACTGGCCCATTTTTACTTCCCTCCCCTGCCTCCCTTTCTGCTCCACATTGGGTTCCTCAGACTTCCTGCTCCATTCCACATTGCTTCAGCCATACCCTGGACCTTGTCACAGGCTTGGACCTCATCATCACGTCATACGTGGCCTTTGAGTTTCAGCTGGTAAACCTTCCTCTGAAGACAGCTCGTATCTTCCACATCTGCCTCTCTGCACTCAGAACTGCCCACTCTTGAGACCACTGGTTGTCCCACCCTGCCAGTTCACCTCGTCATTCATTTCTGGCTCCCTGGTTGGCTTAGATTCCATCCCTGTTATACACTTACCCTTCACCACTGCTTTTGCTCTCTCTTTGGGCCACCAAACTTAGCGGAGAGACCCTTTGCCTTTCTCCCTTGGCTACCACAAATGCATTCTAATTGTGACTGCACCATTCTTGTTTCTCCGCAGTTTCTCCACATTCCTGGAACTCACCATTTACAACTTTTCATTGTTAGAAGATCGCTCTCAACCATATGAGGAGATTAAGGCTGTTCAGTGGGCGCTCCCTCATCTCTCCACTTCCTCTAACTAGTTCTGTCAAGAGCAGTGGCTTTCAACAGGGTCACACATTATAATCATCTAGGGAGCTTTAAAAATACGAACCCCTGCGTGTCATTTCCCTCAGGTTTTGATTTATGTAGTTTGGGGGTGTTCCTGGGCATTAGGATTTTTAAAGCTTTCCGGGTGATGGTGATGCTCAGCTGAGGTTGAAAACCTCTGGTTTTCAGGCTCTGTCTCATTAGCTTTCCTTTCTCAGAAGAGACAATGCACCGGACCCTTCCAAGGCTGACTCCTCTCTGGCCTCCGCTGAATTCTGCATCTCCCCCTAGGACCTCCTTTGTTCTATAGTATACCATCTCTTTCTAGCGTTTTTGCTTTCCCTCTGCAAACATGCACAGATCTTGACTTAAAAAAAATCCCTTTAGTTGACCCCATCATTTGTTAATTAGAAAAAGTCGTCCACCGTCACTTTCTTCCTAAATGTTTTGCCCGTTAAGCTGCTTCAGTCTGCCCTTTGCACCCTCCAGAGCCATTGATACCTAATAGCTAGTTCTGAATCCTTACCTTTCACCTCCAGAGTATTTGATAATACCAGTTTCTCCCTTGAAACTCTCCTTCCCTCACCTCCCTAATAATCCAGAACTTTCCTGAGTTTCCGAACTTTGACTATTCATGCCTTTTCCAAGTTCCTCAAACTTCAGTCCTTGGTCCTCTGCTCTGACCTTTCCTTTGGCTACCCAGCCGTTCTCTAGGCTTAACTATCACATCCAAGCAGACTCCCTCTGAGATCTTACTGCCCCACCTGGTCTTTTAATTCCAGCTTCGCACTTTCATCTGCCTGGTGGACATCTTTGTTGAATGACTTTACTCTAGAGCTCAAATGCAATGTGTCCAGTTGTCTATAGTTCACTTGGCAGGAAATTCTGTACACCAGGTGACACTTCTGTGACAATTTTTTTTGTAGTAATACAACTTCATGTTTCTAGTCTGATATGCTAGCTTGTAAGCTCTTTGAGGTCAGTGCCATAAATATCTTGTACCACATATCCACCCAGTGCTTTGCAACAGTGCTCATAAATATTTGTCACTTTTATTTGAAGTAGATTGTTTTCTTCACTCTAGGACCCTGAAATGGCAAACTTTCTCTATTCTCTGTGCTGTAAACAATCTCCCATGAGTTGGGTCCTAGCCACCTTGTTCTACTAGTTCTACATTAGGAATCTCTTGGAAGCCCTTAAATTCTTTTTCAGTGTCCCCTGTGAGGAAGCAATACAAAGTTGATAGTCATTTTAACACGCTGATGAAGGAAATCATAAGTTTTATGAAATAGCTTCATCTCAAGAGAAACATTGACCGTGGTTTGCTTTGGTTTCTTTTGGCTACCTCACTGCAAAGCTTTCTTGTTTTAAGTTGCTTTGATTTTCATAATGGCATCAAGGGATGACAACAGAGAAGCAATGACTAGCATTAAGGTGACTATGCTGAGCACTACAAGAAGTCAAAGAAATGTAAATTAATGAAAAAGGAGGCAGTCAGTAATCTCATCCCGTTTAGCCCAGTGAATACCTAAGTAGTATTTCTTAAACTTGAATGTGCACGTGAAACACTGGGGTATTATTAAAACTATAGATTCTGATTCTGTAGGCTTGTGGTGGGGCCTGAAAATGTGCATTTCGAACAAGCTCCCAGGTGATGTTGATGCTGATCCAGGACTCACAGGAATAAATGCTTCTAACTGTGAATAAGGTAGAAAAATGTATAAAGTCAAAGTCATCTTTCCACCTGAGATGAACAAGAATAATAAACCTTTTTGCATCCTTCTTCATTGCTCATACGTATTCACGTACATAGGGGGGTTATTAGTTTATTTTTTACCAACACAGAGTTACGCTATATTTATGACCCTGTAACTTTTCCATTTAAAATATGGAAATGCCTATAAACCAGATACAGAATATTTTTCCTAATTTATTTATGGACATATATTTAATTTAAAATAAATAAGAATGTCATAAATGATGGATTGTCTTCAGTGCCTTTTTTTCTTTTTTGCTTCTTAGAAGATGACTTAGAAGTACTGATTTATTAATCCATTTAAAAGTATTTTATAGCGCTCATTATTTTTCTCTTTTGTTCTTAACATTTCTAATGGAAATACGATGTCTGGCTATTTAACTGAACTTTTAAGTATCATGAGCCATAAAGGAGAAATTAATTCAAAATAAAGACATAAGCTACAAAAAAGCATACAATACCAAGTGTCAAGTATACGAAGAACAAAAACTCACACTTCCGGTATACTGTAAATTAGTGCAACTCTGGGAAACTGGGCAGTATCTACTAAAGCTGAATACAGAAAGATGCCTGGTTGCCCAGCACTGGGCACATATGTTCATAGTATGTATATCTGTAAACAGCAGCACTATTTACAATAGCCCTGAACTGGAAACTACCCATGTGCCATGCCCAGAAACAGTAGAATGAGTGAGTGTATTAGGGAATATCATAAAATTGAAGTATCAGAGAGCAATGAGAATAAACAAACTACAACTACACACGATGATAAAGTGCATCTCACAAACGTGATGTTGAGTGAAAGAAGCCTGACAAGATGCTGACACACACTGTGTGATCTCATTCTGTAGTTTTAAAAGAGGCGAAACAAGTTTTTGCTGCTAGAAGTTAGGATAGTGGTTACTTTGGTGTAGAGGGTGGAACTGGGTAGGGTCTAGAAGGAGAGGAAGACCACTAGGGTGCTGGTAATGTTCTGTATCCGAATCTGGGCCATGTTATATGGGGGTGGGAGGGTGTTCACTGAAAATACAGTGAGGTGGACACTTGTGGTTTGTCATTCTATATTATACTTGAAGAAAAAAGTACATAAATGAACAGTAAGGCAGCTGGGCCTGTGGAACCAACTTATGTGTTGTACTGAAGAACATTCATTTACATTAGTGAAGTTCATCAATTGGAAAGTGAGCTCAGATCATCCTCCTTATTTGGTGTAGTGGAGAGTTTGGGAACCGGATTTAAAGGATCCCGTCCTACTTGGTGAAATGTTATTACAGTCTCCCTGTGAGTCGGTGTAAAACGGGGATCATAATTATTTGCTGACAGACTTTCTGTATAACAGACAGAATCACCATCCTCACAGAATTCAGGATGGACAACATGCAAAAATAGAATGAAATGAAACTTCAGCAATACCCCAAATAGCAAAGAATGAAAAGCTGCCTTTTGACATGAGTATGCAGCAAAACCGTGTCTCATCCCATGAAGGCCATATAGGAAAGCTATCCTTGCAGTTAACGAAAGAGTTTAAGATGCTTAAATTGTATCTTATGATTAGTTTAGCAAAACTGGCATCAGAAAACAAATGCCGTTAACATCGAGTACCCCGACAGAACGCCGTGATAAGACTGAGGTATTGTGGGACATGTAGTTTCGTGCGCCGTGGGGCATTCTCCCCGACCCCCGACTCCAATCCTTTGGAGTTGACAGGGAAACAAAAGATGAGTGCCGGGGCAGTCAGCGCGAGCTGCCAGCTCAGGATCTGGAGGTCGCAGGGTGGCTACCGCCGGAGAAGACGTTCCCCACACTGTCCTCGCGTCCGACCTTCCCGGCCCTGGGACTGCGCGGCGGGCGCGCGGTGATGGCGTCACCTTCCGGCGCCGCCGCTTTGGTTTCCCGGGCGACCGGCGGGAGGTGGGCGCCAAGGCGAGGGAGATGCTGGCGAGGCGGCCGCGGGATCCCCTCCAAGCCCTGCAGCGCCGCAGTCAGGAACTGAAGCAACAGGTACCGTCTGGCTGTCGGGCGGGGGACCTGGGCACCGTGAGGTGGCCTGGGCTCTGGCGGCGGGCGAGAAATGGGGCTCACCCTAATCGTCGGAACCTGCTCGCAACCCACTTACCTTCCCGAGTGCTAACACTCCCCTACCCGCAACATCCCAGCACCAAACCCTGATTCCAAGCCCTGTCCTCCCAACCCAGCCGAACTACTGGCTGTACCTCCGGAAAATCATGACCTTCGACGAAGCGCTCTCCCCACCCGCCTCCCCGCCCTGGCGTCTCAGTCTCCAACCCTAACAACCCGACCTCACCTCCAAATCTAAACTTTTAGCAAATAACCATTTCTAACCTCTCTGCGCCCAACATCTCTCCACTCTCCATGCCCCCTTTGCGCCTTCTTCACTTATTGCTTCACATGAACTCAAGCGAAATAGGTGGCAAGGAATAATCCTAATAATGTGAGGAAAATGTTAAGATCTGACTAATGAGCAAAGGGCATGAACTAAAGAAGAAATACCAGTAACTCATAAACCTGAGAAAAATTATCTTCAAAGATAATTAAGTGCGAAGGAAATAAGATATCACCAACATTTTAAAATCACAATCCTCGGTACTGGGGAGGGTGTGATGAGACAGGTACTCACATACTCCAGTGTATAAGGCGCAGGATTTCTGGAAAGCAGTTTGATAAGATGTAGCAAATATTCATGTGCTTACGTTTCTGGGAACTTACCATAGATAATAATTAAAAATTAGGACAGATTGATATATAAAAGTGATCATCACAGTGTTACTTAGAAAAGACTGGATACAACTTAAATGATCAATAACAGGGGAATGGATAAGTAACTTATGATGGGATAATAATACCATGATTAAAATTTTGTGAAAGAGATTTTAATGTTAGGGAAAATATATGTGTGATAAAATGTTAAGTTAGAAAAAGAATATAAAGTTGGATATACAGCATTTACAGTAATACAGTAATACAATTTTTCTATATATAATATACTAGAAAAAAGATAGAAGGAAACATGCCAAAATGGCAATCTGTGTGTTGTCTTCATACTTTCTGATATTTTCAAAAGTTTGTACACTGTCTGTATGTTACTTTAAAAAATAAGAAAAAGTAGTAATTAATGAATTGTTAATTTATTTTCTGAAATTCTTATTTCATTTTACTAATTTTACCTTTTATTTTTCATTTGATCTATTACCAAATATTGTTTCCACTAAATAAAATTATTTTATAATCTTTGGCAGACAAGAAATTTATTGAATGCTCATATTTTATTCAATTTGGGACTTGTTTAAAAAGTACAAAAGATTTGATAACTATTTCTGAAATGACTCTATTGGAATTATAGTAGTGCAACAAAAACAAAATACTCTTCTTGTAGAAATAAATATGGAACTTGAAGCATTGACTTACGCTGAGCTTTGGCCTAGATGGATCTAATTTTGAATTTGTTGGGAAATTGAGAGAACCAGGAAAAGCTTTAGAAGTAAACCAGGAAATTTATTATTAAAACAAAGATGAAACAGACAAACTATGACAAGGATAATTCAGCCTGGAAGAGAATTGGCTCGGGAGCCTTTTGACACCCTGGCAGCCTGGGAAGGGCTCTTTGATAGCGTCAGCTGATTCCTCCCTGTCCCCACAGAGGACACTTGAAGCAAAAAACGGGGCAGATTTCTGACTGAGTGTCCATGGACAAATAATCAGGAGCCCATCTGGGTCATGCCTGTGGTGGCTGACTCTGTCACTAGGTGTGTGAATTTTGTAGATGACGCTTATACAGATGCAAGATAGCAAGAGTAGAGAAGAAGCTAGTGAACTTTTATTTCTCTTTTTTCGTCCACTTTTTCTTCACATGATCTATAGAAAAGGACCCAAAAGAAGTGTGTGCCTCCTTTGTGGGTGCATTGGCAAAGTTACATGTGGCATTTGGGAAATACTAGGTCAAGATATAAGATATAAGAATAAGGATAAGTAACCCTCATACACTGTTGGTGGGAATGCAAACTGGTACAGCCACTATGGAAAACAGTATGGAGATTTCTCAAAAAGTTAAAAATAGAAATACCCTATGACCCAGCCATCCCATTACTGGGTATCTATCCTAAGAACCTGAAATCAGAAATCTCAAGAGTCCCTTGCACCCCTATGTTCATCGCAGCATTATTTACAATAGCCAAGACGTGGAACCAACCTACATGCCCAGAAACTGATGATTGGATAAAGAAGATGTGGTATATATACACAATGGACTACTACTCAGCCATAAAAAAAGACAAAATTGGCCCATTCACAACAACGTGGATGGACCTCGAGGGTATTATGTTAAGCGAAATAAGCCAGTCAGAGAAAGACGAACTCTATATGACTCCATTCATAGGTGGAAGTTAGTATATTGATTAGGAGATCTGATCGGTGGTTACCAGGGAAAAGGGGGGGTGGAGGGAGGGCACAAAGGGGGAAGTGGTGTACCCACAACATGACTAACAAAAATGTACAACTGAAATCTCACAAGGTTGTAATCTATCATAACATTAATAAAAAAAAAAAAAAGAATAAGGATAAGCAAATTCATGCTATATTCATACAATGAATAGTATTCAGCAATAAGAAGGAACAAACTAGTGATGCACACAACAACATGGAAGCATCTCAAAAACCTGTGTCGTGAAAGGATTATATGGAGTACATGCTTTCTGGGGTAATAGTAATTTCCTATATGTTTATAGGGGTTTGGGTTACACGGACGTATGCATTTGCCCAAACTCAGCAAATGTATACTTAATATTTGTGCATTTCATTGTATGTAAAGATCACACCAGAATATTGAACTCCAGTTGATGATACCCACGGAGCATTATTCCAGGGGAAATGTATGGATGATTGTGGTTTACTTTGAAATACGTAAAAAATAAGATGGATTGATGAATGGATGGATCAAATAGGTATAGTAAAACGTTAATGGTAGAATCTAGGTCGTGGATATATGAGTGTTCACTGTAAAATTCTTTCAACTTCATTGTGTGTTTAAAAGTGTTCATTATAAAATATTGGGAAAAAAAGAATTAAAATTTATTTCCTAAGGTTATATGGCATTTAACAATATGATCTATTAAACTGTCTCCATTTGTTGTAGGTTGATAGTTTGCTTTCTGAGAGTCGATTGAAAGGAGCTCTAGAATCCAGTAGAAGGCGAGACATTTACCAAAGGTAAAGCATACTAAATTGTTTAAACTTTCCAGGAATTGCACTTACCAATGAGCAGTGTTTACAGCATAGAAATTGTTTGAGGCACTATTTCTTTCCTTTTTTTTATTAGTACAGTTTCCAAAAAGATAAAATAATAACGGGAAATAATACGTATTGAAGTAACAGTGAATGAAATTTTCCACAACGTGTTTAAAATACTTCTTGCAGTTACCTATATCTACTGGGTCTAAATACTGTAATGATAAGATTAAATAGAGAATTAAAAATGTTAAAAAGAGGCAAGTTACATTTATTTTATACTGTGTGTACCAGACAATGTGGTCCGTGCTCTAAGAACTTTTTCTTCATTAATTTTCACAGTAACCATGAGATACTTATTAATGCAGGTGAGAAAATTAAGGTTCACAGTGGTTAGTCAATATGTCTAACATTACTTTGCTATAAGGCTTTGAAGTAGGAAGATCGTAAAAATGTTTTAAGACAGCTCAGAAGTGCAGAAGTCAAACAAGCGAGGGAAGGAACCTAAGTGCTGTCTCAGTGGATCTTCCGGCTTTGGTCCCTTTGAATCAAGTGGAAGGATTACATCATGGTACAACTGGATCTAGGAGAAACCAGCCTGAAGCCAGAGGTTACGGGCTTGCTGTTGTGACAGCAACTATAGAAGCTGTTCAGAGGGAACATTGGTGGCTTAGGCAGAATTACGGTGGGCCCTTGGCCTGTGTAGCCCCAGATCCTGTGGCCTGGTCAGAAATCTATTAGCAGGATGGTGACTTTAACTCCCTTGAGATGGGAAAACTGTTCTCTCAGTGGGTGTTTTTTTTGTTTCTTTGTTTTGACTTTTTCTTAATCCCTGGGAGAGTTTAAAATTACATATACATGATGAACTAAATCAAATTAGACTATTAATACTTTTGTGTTAAGTTTAGGACATCATTAAGATAATCTGTATGTTTTGGGTATTTAAAGAGTTTGTAACATTCTACAGAACATGAGATTCATTCTTTTAGTTTAAATGATTCATTAGAATCATTTGGAAAAGTTTTGTTTAAGTCAGGCATTCAAAATGCTTAAAAGCAAAATAAAATGTTTTTAAAATTTTTTTTAAAGATTGGCACCTGAGCTAACAACTTGCCAATCTTTTTTTTCTTTTTTGCTTTTTCTGCCCAAATCCCCCCAGTAGATAGTTGTGTATTTTAGTTGTGGGTCCTTCTATTTGTGGCACGTGGGACGCCGCCTCAACATGGCCTGATGAGCGGTGCCATGTCCACACCCAGGATCCAAACCAGTGAAACCCTGGGCCGCTGAAGCGGAACACTCGAACTTAACCACTCGGCCCGCAAGATAAAATTTAAATGAATTTTAAAACGTCGAAGGCAATTTAATTAACAACATTTATTAGTAAAATTGATTGTTTAAGGAATTTAGTTCAAGTTGAATAATCAACAGTAATGAAAGAAAAGGTGAAGTTGATTGTCCTTGCTTTACTAGATTTAAAAATAGCATAAGATTTATAGGCTGAATTTGAAGGCCCAGGGAAAACTGGGTTTTTAAATTTTATTTTAATAAATTAATAATTATTTTTAAACCCAAATAACCATAGATAGTCTTCTGTGTATAAAATGATCCCCTCAGAGTCGTTTGAAAATTCACATTGACATTTGCATGTCTGAAAATATCATTTTGCCCTTATGTTTGATTAATAATTGGCTGGATATGGAGTAAAAATAATTTCTACTTAAACCTTTGATGCCTTGTCAGGTTTCTTTACACCCAGGGATGCTGATAAACTTGGTGAACATTCCTTTATAATTGACCGGTTAGGGGCTTTTTCTCTTGAGCTTTAGGTTTTGAGATTTCCTCACGATGTTTTTATCCTGCTCAATACCCAGTGGGTCTTTGCAGTTTGAAAATTCTTGTCTTTCATGAGTTCTGGGAGATCTTCTTTTACTAAAAGATAACTTTTTACTTCTATTTGTCTGTTTCTTCCTGAAACACTTTTGAGCCAGGCATCCTATCTGCTGGACTATCCTTAGAGCTCTCTCCCCATTAATAGTTTTTGTTTCTGTCTTTTGTTTACACCTGGGAGATTCTCCTGGCTTTTTCATTTTAACTTTTCTGTGGAATGTTTTATTTCGCCAGCCATATTGTTAATTGACAAGTGTTTTTGCTTGTTCTTTAATTGTTCTGTTTTTCATAGCATCATGTTTTCAGATTATTTCCTTAGTACTTCCATGATTAGGGAATTTTTTTTTTAAGTTCTCTTCTGTTGTTTGTGTTGTCTTTGGTTCCTCTGGCCTCAGCTTATTTGTTTATTTAATTTTGGTTAGTTTTAAATTTTATATTCCATGTTGCTGGTTTTCTTTATTATGTCCAGTGGCCCTTGGGTTATCTATCCACTTTTATTTAAGAATAAGGGATGAGGTTGATTATTCTAGAGAGCTGTAGGGGTTCTTCTGCTGTTGTGTGTGTTGGTCTTTCCTACTGGTACTATCCTCTGATGGGAGTGCAGCTCTTCGTACACAGGCAGGGCTTCTCAGGGGCCCAGAACTAGCCTTTAGTCTGAGGAGCCCCCAGTGCCAGAGCAGGTTTAACTCTGGCGTACAGGAAACTTCCTTGGCAGCTATCATTCTCCCCAGGTCATTCATTCATTTCTTTTCTCTTTTTAGAAGGGTCTTCTGGTAGGTAGAGAGGGATGAGGTGAGAGAAAGGAGAACTGTCAGGTTTTCTGTAGAACAGACTTTTTAAAAAGTCAAAGACCTATGATAAAAGGGCCTTAACTAGATCTAAACTTAGTTGATATCTTTACTCTCTCCCTGAATAATGTAAAGACCTTAAATTGTGTTAAGACTGGTTTTCCTCTTAATAGCTTAGATGTTGTGGATGTTATTTAATTTGTATGATAAAGTATGTAAAGCCAACGCCAGCCATTGTGCCTGGCTTCACCTGGGGAACCTCGTGACGCGCTGCCGCAGACACGCGTCAGGTGACCCCCTGTCCTTCGTACCTGCCGACCCAGATCGTGGCCTTTTCTTCCCAGCAGATCACGCCCCTCTTACGCTTGTATGGCTTCTTCCTCTCTTTATAGAAGAACGTGCTTCCATCCTTTTCCCAGGCAGCAGAAATTTGTTGAAATCTCTTATTGACAGGCGGTCCCTCTTTCAGTCTCTTGTGCCCAGGGTTCATTACCTTTTAAAATATTTTAATCATTTTTTGGTGGGGTTTCAGGAGGCAGTGAAGATGAACATGTGCTTAGTTTTTATCCTGATCCAGACATCTTAAAATATCTGAACAGTCTGAGGATTTTAATAATTTTATAGACAGGAAGGGGATAATTATAATAAATAATTTGTGTTATTTGTATATTCCATGAAAATAGTTTTCCACTCGGGCTCTTAAGTGAAATTTCTGAGGCTGAGTTTCAGTTAGGATTCTTTTGGTCAAGTAACAGGACACCTGTTAAAATGAGCGGCTTTACTGTCAGTCTCATGTAACAAAAAATCTGGGGACAGGTTCTCCCAGGGTAGGTTAGTGGCTCTTGATGCCCTCAAGGACCAGCCCTTGCTGTCCTTCTGCTTTGCCATCCTCAGCTTGTCAGGAATGACTCTCCTCACCTTTGCCAAGTCCTCAGGCATCAGCATCTAAAAGCAGAAAGGAGGAGGATTCCTTACACACCGCATCAGGGAGGATAAAATGGGAGGAAGTGCCTAACATTCCTTTCACGTTTCCTTGGCCCCTCTTACCTGCCTTAGGTGTCAGTGGGAGGCCGACCCTGCCAGCATAGAGGAGGTGGCAGAAGGGCTCTGGGGTAGGTAACTAGCAGGGTCAGCCACAGTTTGATCTTTCCACTTCTCTTTTTCTGACTCTTTCACAAAGGATTTTTGTCCCCCTTTTCACTGCTTATTTCATTAGCCTCTGTAAGAAGAAGAAAGAACTGACTCAAACAGCAGAAAAATATTGACTTTTGAAGATTATTATTTGATAAAGCATTTGATTTTTGAAAACTCCCATCATTAGCTGTAGCCCATTTTCAGTCCTTTTTTTTTTTTTACTTCTTTTTTATTTGGGCGTCTAAGACTTCAGCTAAATCATATGAGCTGTTTACGGAATAACTAAAACGCTGAACCAGTAGGGACAGGCCAAGTTCAAAAGGGGAGTGCGCCGTGGTGAGGAGAGCCCAGCTGTGGCATCCTGAACACTGCCTTCACAGTGCTGCTCTGTGCTGACCAGCAGTGGCCACTTTCTGGAAGCTCCCTCTCTTGAGCTGGAGTGAGGCTCAGATGAGGTGGTGCTGGTGCGTGCTCACCATTGTGCCCGTGCATAGTGCACTGTAGCTGTTATCATTGTTGATTGTGTCTCCGTGGCTAGGTCCTAGGTTTATGGAATTTTAGGACTGGGGAAGTATTTTAAAGTTCAGTGCTTTCCTGATTTTAGGGGTAGGAAACTGAAGCCCGACTCCCTCCAGCTTTCTGAGCCGTGGTTATCCTGTGTGCCTGAGAGCTTGGCGGTGAGGATCACCTGAGCTAATGGGCGGAGAAGTATTTGCATGTGAATTTGTTAACATCATTCATACAATGGCCAACTGCCTCGCCTGCTTAAAGACTGACATATGATTTTATAAAATAACTTTCTGGTTCTGACAATAGAAAAATCAATCTTTTTTTCTTTCTTTTTAAAAATTTAGATGTATCCAGTTAAAACAGGCAATAGATGAAAATAAAAATACTCTTCAAAAATTAAACAAAGTAAGTATTACGGCTAATCATATTACAAAAAATCTGCTTTTAGGCAAGTATTTTCGTTAAGTGGGAATCTATTAGAGTGGGTAAGTTCTGGGGTTCGTTAGTGGTGAAGTGTAATGTGGGCAGTGCTGGCTGCCCAGCATGCTTACTGAGTATGTGCTGTGGAGCAGAAAAGCCAAGGCTCCAAATACTCATACCACTTCAGCTTTGATGAACTCCCTCAGCATTGAGGACTCAGAAAATTCCAGAAGAAGCTAGTGTATTTTTGCATTGTGTAAGTTTTATGTTTTACAGGTTAGAATCATTTTCATTTTACTGCATTGTGGGGAGACAGCACCTAATCTGGCCCTGAGGGTAGGCGGTAAAGAAGCTTCTTGTATCACGTGGCAGCTCTGATTTCCATGACTCAGTAGAAACAGGAGGACCCAGAATTTGCTTTTGGCAGTGCCTTCAGGAGTTTTCCTTTTAGTATGAGCCTGAGCTTCAGCGAGGTGTCCAGGGCCAGAGACGCCCAGAGCACGGGAAGTGGAAGGCCTGTGAAACCCGGCCCCCTGCCTATGGATGACTCCACTGCATCTGAGACGAGTGGTCACTGAGCATCTCTTCTGAATCCCTCCAGTGACGCAAACCTCTTTGATTTAGGAGGCAGACTGACCCTAAATTTGAAAACCTAGTTTCCACAGGTGAGGAAACTGAGGCTCCCAAAGGCGAAGCGGCTTGCCCAGTGTCTCGCTGTCAGTAAGCGGCAGAACGTGGGGTTGGCACTTGTCTTTTTGACTCCAAAGCCGGTCTTCTGTCTGGAGCCTGTCCCTTCCTGACTATAGAGAGTCTGCAGTACCTGGGCAAGAAAACAACCGAAACAAGTAGGATAATTTTGTTTTTTCATTTGGTTTGCATTCCAACATGATCATCTACATTCCTTTTAATCTTATTTCTCTGAGGTCGGTCTAGTCTCATGTTGGTATTTGCTTTGTCTTCCAGCCCTTATTGGAGGTTTTTTTTCTTTTAAAATAAATGTAATAGGGAACTGAAATAAATTTTTCAGTGAAATAGATTTCTATTCTCTCTTAGGCTGATGAACCTGCACCTGTCGGGAACTATGATCAGAAAAAAAAGGAGGAGCACAGTCTTTTGGATAAGCTTACCCACCAACTGCAGGAACTTGCTGTGTCCTTAAGAAGAGAAGATGTAACTGAGTATGCTTCTTTTTGTCCTCCCTTTGTTTCAGATATTATGTCACCAATGGTTTGAATGTTTGGCTCAGAATAGACACGTGACAGTATAGATATAAACAAATGACGGTAAGAGTGTGATCAGTTGACAGTAATTTATTGTGTATGGTAGAAAGTGTTAGATCCCATGAGAGATGTAAAGACGTGGAAGTCAGAATCTCTGCCCTCAGGTAATTTATAATCTAGTTGGGGAAATAAAACAGATCTGAAAAGCTAAATAAACAAATGTTAGAACATAGGGATGATGTATTTAATGTCAATTTTGATATGTAAAAAGAAAATTATTTGGATTGTCTACGTGCATATTTCCTCTTTTCATAAATATTCTTTAAAAATTAGAGGCAGAGGGGCTGGCCCATGGCCAAGTGGTTAAAGTTCCACGCACTCTATTTAGGTGCAGCCCCAGTTTGTGGGTTCAGATCCTGGGCGTGGACCTACTCCACTCATCAGCCATGCTGTGGATGTATCCCACATACAAAGTAGGGGAAGATTGGCACAGATGTTAGCTCAGGGCTAATCTTCCTCAAGCAAAAAACGAGGAAGATTGGCAATGGATGTTATCTCAGGGTGAAACGTCCTCACCAAAAAAAATTAGAGACAGAAACATGCATTGTTTTTCTGTCGGAGTGAATGTTAATAATAGCCTTTGCAAAGTGGAAAGAAAACTTGATGGTATAAACAAACCCAATTTGTGGAAAGCAAAAAGGAAAAAATCAACTATTTAGATTCTTCAAATGCTATTCCCATACTTTTTTTTTTTTTTTTTGATGAGGAAGATTGGCCCTGAACTAACATCTGTTGCCAATCTTCCCCTTTCTGCTTGAGGAAGATTGTCCCTAAGCTAACATCTGTGCCAGTCTTCCTCTATTTTATATGGGACACTGCCACAGCATGGCTTGATGAGTGGTATGCAGGTCCATGCCCGGTATCTGAACTTGCAAACTCCAGGACACCAAAATGGAGTGTGCAAACTTAACCACTATATCGCCAGGCTAGCCCCTGTTCCCATACTTTTACACCATATCAGCCAAAGGATGTAGATACAAGAATTCTAGAATTTCCACTAATTTGCAGTACCGAGAATGACAAAGTAGCTGGGATGAGACTTAACCTTCCTACCATAAACAACTATAATATCTGGACAAAATATACAAAACAGCTGTTTGAAGTCATTGAACATCAGCTAAGCAAGGCTGATATGCTTAATACAGGGAAACACAAGAGATGAGTCCTACATTCACCCAGACCCTCTCCCTGGGGATTTTACGTTCTCTGGTGCAGGGAGATTGATCCCAAACAGGGAGCAGCAGTCTTACTGGGCTGAGCAGGCAGACATCAAATTTTGGAGTTGCTAAGGCCACTGGACCTTGTAGGGGGAGAGAAGGGAGTTGCAGAGAGACAACTCAAGAAATTTGAATGCACTCTGGGCTACACAGAGCATGATTCCAGAAGTTCTGGCGGAAAGCACCTGCTGGGAGACTAAGAGCTTAAAAGATTCTGGAGGTCACATAGTCCTGGGAAAATATTGGAGTTTGCACCCAGCTAGGGTAAAGAGATCTCAGTGAACAGTTCAGGCATTTAGTGGAGATCACAGATGGCCCATGCCCTGGGAGTAAGGAGAACACCCTAATGTTAAGAACTGGGATCTTGGAATAAAGACAAAACTGAAGTGGATCTTCTTCAACAAAGCCCCAAACCAGACCTCAACAGGAACAAGATAATTTAACTGTGTAACAGAACAAAATTCAACACTCTTTAAAGGAAGATGGGGTAATCCAATCCAAGGTCTCTAAGTGTATCATCCACAATGTCCAGTAATAACAAAAAATTACTAGAAACACAAACAAGCCAGGGAAAAGAAATGATCAATAATCAAGCAATAAGATAGTCAATAAAAGCAGATCCAGGTCTGAAGCAGATAGCAGAGTTAGCTGACAAGGACTTCTAAATAATATGATTAATGTGTTAAAGGAAATGGAAGAAAAAATGGATGAAATGGAAGAAGGTAGAGTGTTTTGAGAGAATTCAAATGTAGACAATAATCAAATGAACATTCTACAACTGCAGAATATAATATCTAATAAAATAATAGCTGAGAACTTTCTAAATCTGATCCAATATATAGATTCAAAAAGGTAGAAAATGTGTTATAATAAAGAGAAAAATTTTAATCAGTAGAAACTCAGACGACCCAAATGTGAGAATTAGCAAACAAGAACTATAAAACAACTATTTTCAATATGTTAAAGAACTTTTGAGAAAAGATGGACAGATTGGATGAATGGAGAGAAATCTTACGCAGATAAATGGAAGCTAATAAAGACCAAAACGGAAATTCTGAAACTAAAAAGTACAATATATGAAGTGAAAAAAAGTTACTAGATGATTTAACAGAAGATTGCATACAATAGAGGAAAGGATCAGTGAACCCAAAGACAGAGCAATAAAAAACTTTCAAACTCATGCACAAAAAGAAAAACAGAGTGCAAAGAACAGAACAGAATGTACGAGAGTTGTGGGACATGATCAAAAGTTAAGATACATGTAATTGAAGTCCCAGAAGGAGAGGAGAGAAAGAATGGAGCACAAGGAAATATTTAAATAAATTTTTAAATTGAAATCTAAAAAGGTATCAATCTGCTGATTCAAGAATCTCAGGGAACCCCAAGTGGAATAAATGTAAAGGAAACCACACATTTGTGCATCATAGTCAAACTGCTGGAAACCAGTGATCACTAGGAAATCTTAAAAGCAGCCCGGGAAAAAAGGAAACATCATGTACAGGCATATGACAGTTAGAATTAAAGTTGACATCTTATTAATAAAAATTCAGGACAGAAGACAATAAAAGGGTTGAAAGAAAAAAATCTATCAACCCAGAATTCTGTATCTAGCAAAAGTATCTTTCAAAAATTAAAGTGAAATAAAGACATTTTCAGACAAAAAAAAAAAGCTGAGGAAATTTGTCAACAAAAGCTAACAAATTTGGCAAAGGAAGTTCTTCAGGCTAGAAGAAAATGATCCCATGTGGAAACTTGGATCTACAAGATTGAATGTAGAGCTCTGGTATGTGGGTAAATATAAAAGCCTATTTTTTTCTTTTCTAGATGCCTTTAAAAGGGACTTGATTGTGTAAAGCAAGACATATTTGGGGATTTATATAGTATACAGTCGGTTCTCATTATCTGCAGTACTTAACGTTCCGTACAGTTGCTGTGAACACTGGATTAGTGAATACTAAACCAGTGCCTCTAAAGGAAATCTAGAGTTAGGTTCCTGTGAAGCTCTGGTCACAACAGTTTCATTAACTGGGTCATACATGTCCTTGTTTTATGTGTGTTTCAGTTTAAAGACACTTTAATATCTATTATTGATTCATTAACATTGAACTCACGACCAACAGCGCTATAACTCATGCCTGAACAAATCTTACCTAACACTGATTTTCTCCACTAGGCACATCACAGCCTTCTTGTGCATAGGAACACTACACAACTCTTCAGCAGTATTTTTGGAGGCCATTTTAAATGGCAAGATCAACAAAAAGCACAAAAATGCAAAGAACATGGCACTAAATAAAATAAGTAGATGAATTTCCAAATACAGAATTAGCAAATAATGAAGATCAGCTGTACGTAGAAGTAAAATATATGACAACAATGGCACAACATTAGTTAAAAGGGCTGGCAGGGTAAATGGAATGGTATCTTAAAGTCCTTTTATTTTTGGTGAAATGTAATTTTGATTTAGGTTAGACTGTGATAAGTTAGGGATGTATATTGTAATATCTAGAACAATCACTAGCAAAATAAGCTGAAGAAGTAACTAAAAAACAGCATAGACAATAAGGTGGCATACTAAAAATGACTCGCCCAAAAGAGACAAGAAAGGAGAAACAAAAAAACAAGGCAAATAGAAACTAAATAGTAACATGGTTTGAATGCATCCATATGGATTAAATATAAATGGAATAACACTCCAATTAAGAGAAAGAGATTGTCAGATGGATTTTTTAAAAACCCATATAGGGGCTGGCCCTGTGGCTGAGTGGTTAAGTTTGTGCTCTCTGCTTTGGCGGCCCAGGGTTTCACCAGTTCAGATCCTGGGTGCAGACCTCCATTGCTCATCAAGCCATACTGAGGTGTCATCCCACATAGCAGAGCCAGAAGGACCGACAACTAGAATATACAACTACGTACTGGGGGGCTTTGAGGACAAGAAGAAGAAGAAGAAGAAGAAAAAAAGATGATTGGCAACATGTTAGCTCAGGGGCCAATCTTTCAAAGAAGAAAAAAAAACCCAAATACACTTTAATGTAAAATCACAGATAGGTTGAAAGTAAAAGGCTGAAAAAGATATTTTAGGTAAACCCTAACCAAAGCAAAGCTGATGCAGTTGTATTAATATCAGCCAAAGTAGACTTTAAGGTTAAAATTAATTTTATAGACAAAGACATGTCATGGTAGTGAAAGAATCAATTCAATAGGGAGAAATCATCCTAATGTGTATGCACCTAATTACATAGCTTCAAAATGTATAAAGCAAAAGTTGCCAGAACTGAAGGAACGCTATAAAATCCACAGTCCTTAACAACCTTTACCTAATTACACATATATTCATAGAACACTGCATTCAACTAGGTAATACACATTTTTTCAAGGTGCACATATTACACTGACCAAAATGAACTATGTTGGACAATAAAGCAATTGTCAACAAATTTCAAAGGATTGAAATCATTCAGTCTTTGATGACTTGGAATTACATTAAAACTCAATGGCAACTTAAAACTAATATAATGTTATATATCTATTATATCTCAATTAAAAAAACTTCAATGACAGAAAAATAACTAAAAATCTCAAATATTTGCAAATTAAGTTGCACACTTCTATATAACTTGAGTCAAAGAAAATATTACAATAGAAATTTAAAAATATTTTGAGTGGTAATAAAATGCAACTTGTGAGCTGCAGCTAACGCCATGCTGAGAGGGAAATTTATAGCTTTAAGTACATAGTTTAGAAAAGAAGAGAAGCTGAAAATCAATTATTAAAGTTTCCAACTTAAGAAGATGGAGAAAGAACAGCAAATTAAACCCAAGGACAGGAAAAGGAAGGAAATAATAAAAATAAGATCAGAAAACAGAGAATAATAGACACACAGTAGATAAAATTAATAAAGCCAAAAATTGATTCTTTGGAAAAATTAATTAAATAAATAAATTCCTAGCAAGACTGATCAAGAAAGGAGAAAGAGAAGGAAAAAAAAAAAAGAAACAAGGCTGAAAACTGTAATCACTACAAATCCCACAGAAATTAAAAGGGCACTATGAAGATATTATGAACAAGTTTATGCCAATAAATTTGAAAATTTAGATAAAATAAACTCCTTGAAAAATAAAATATATTCAGATTGACACAAGATGAATAGAAAATCTTTATAGTCCTACTAAAATACCTACTAAAGAAGTTGAATCTATAATTAAAAACCTTCCCACAGAATGAACTCTCAGGCGGCTTCACTGATGACTTATTGCAAACTTTTAAGAAAGAAATAATACCAGTATTACAAAATCTTTCTAGAGAGTAGAAAAAGAAATTTCCCAAATTATTTTGTGAGCATTAGATAATTTTGATATCAAAACCTGACAAGAATATTTTAAGAAAAATAACAAGACCCTCATGAACAAAGGCACAAACCCAATATAAAATATTAGCAAGTGGAATCCAGTGGCATATCAAAATGACAGTACGTCATGACTAAGTGGGATTTATTCCAGAATGCAAGGTTAGTTTAACATTCAAAAATTAATAATTGAAATTCACGATAGCAACAAAAGAAGAACCATAAACAATCACGTCAAGTTCCCGTTATCCTTGGCGACATTTTAGAATAACTGACCCAGAGAAAATATGTGCAAAGTATCTCCTAAAAAAGGAAAGGGGCACGTTGAAAATCAATATGCCGTATTTTATGGATTTTTATTCTCGTGGTGTACAAATTGTTTTTTGTTAAGTCACTGTTTATGTTTAGGTCAGTGTGGTATGAGAGTGTCCTACATCTATTTTAAACAAAGTGAGCCCAATTCTTCTGTTTTTTTTCCAGAGAATATCTTATATTTGGCTGGTTTTATAGTTAGCAATGTCCGTTAGAATAAGTATTGTTATCCCCATTTGAAAGATAAGCTTCTCTGATACAAGCTTTAGGAGAGTGAAGCTCTCTTTTGTTCATTGTTGTATCCCAAGCACGTACTGTCTGTCACACGGTAGCTGCTCAGTAAACGGTGGGTGACTTTGCTGAATGTTGAATGAATAAATAAACTCAGAGAGATTTAGTGACTTATCCAAGCCAGTATTATTTTAGCTCCTCTCTCTCCCCTCACCTTCCATTTTACCTCTTAAATATCATTCTAAAACATCTATCTCTTCGTCCCTAATGCTATTTTCTTAGTTCATACTGTTGTCATGTCTCACTTGTAGCAGCCATCTCTGCCTTTAGCCCTCCTTCCAGTCTGTTCCCCATGCTGTAGCCTCGTCCTCTTTCTAAAGTGCACATCAGATCCTGCTCTTCCCTTGCTTCATTTTTGGGGACTACCTTAGAGGTAAAGCTCACATGGACTGCGTCCTCATGCCTTTCCAGCCTCATCTCTTGCTCGTTTCTTTTTCTCCAAGCCGTGTCCTACCACTCATGAGCTACTTGGTGTTCCCTGATCTTGAGCCTCCTTTTCTCCACTCCCTCCTCCTCCTTTCTACTTCCTATTTACCTGATTAATTCCAGCTCACCCCTCAAGACCTAATTCTAAGCCTTTCCTGATCCCCAGCACCCATGCAGTCTATGTTAGGTGTCCCTCTTGTGTGTTTGCTTAGTATCCTGTGTATACCTCAACTGCAGTACCTGGTGAACTGTATTGTAATTACGCATCTTCCAGATTGTCTCATTGTAAGCTCCTTGAGGACAGAGAATTGTTTCTGGTTTACCTTTGTATGCACTGTGTCTGACATGGACCTGACGTACAACATCATCGTCATCATAGCTGACTTTTAGAAAAAGGTTGCTATGGGCGGGCACTGTTCTAAACACTTTGCAAGTTTATAACTCATCTAATCCTCAGGTCAACCTAATGAGGCAGGTTCTATTATTATCTCCATTTTACCGTTGAGAAATGGAGAGCTTAAAAGAAACCTACCCAAGGTTACTCAACGGGGAGGAGACAGCCAGAATTTAAACTCAGAGCCCATACTCTGACCACTATGTAATAATGCTCCAGCAGCATTTGCTGAATGGATGAAGCCAAGACTTAAATACCAGTCTCTTGGCCTCAGCCCTGTGCATGCTCTTCCGTGTCACATACATTCCTCAGATACATTAACTCCTTCACCGCTCTCAGTCCTCAAGTCACGTATTCTTAGCTAGATGGTAGAAACTATTAGTTGTACTTTCCCCTTATTTCCTTTGTCTGCCAGTTCCAAATATGGGCCAGTTATTCTATATATAGAAGTTATATTCATACTTGATTTATTCTTATACATTATTTCAAGTGATCCTCATCGCAGAGTTATTTTTTATAGAATTGGGGCACTTACTGAAAGAGAGGAAGATGAGGATTCTGCTGAAGAAGATGAAGAAGAAGAAGAAGACGAAGAAGAAAGTGAAGAAAGTGGTGAGGAGGAAGAAGGAACAGAAGAGGAAGAGGAAGAGAAACAGGAAAATGAATCTCACCAACAGGCGACAAGTAAAGAATACGTCGCTATTGGAGATTTCACTGCTCAGCAAGTGGGAGATCTTACATTTAAGGTCGGTAGAAACAGGATTGGAACCTAACCCAAGGATAAACTTTCCTTCCTAATAGAATAAGAAAACTCTGCTTGTGTACCTGTATTACATAGTCCTGATAGGCAGTTTTTTACAATTCAATCTATTTAAATGAAGTAAGTAATAATTATGATTTACAGGCAGTAGTCAAGTGTGAAATTCTGTATGAAGTTACCTGGTAGTAAATTGGTAAAAGAGTAAATGCTTTTCTGTTTTTGAAAATAGTTTTAATGCTGAAATTCCTAATGTAGGGGTAAAACTTAATTTAAAAATTTTTACTTGGTTTTGTTTTAAGAAAGGGGAAATTCTCCGTATAATCGAAGGGAAGCCTGATGGTTGGTGGACGGCTAAGAATGCCAAGGGAGAGAAAGGTCTCGTTCCAAGAACCTACTTGGAGGTTAGTCTTCATTGTTTATTCTTTCCTTTTTCTCCCTAAACTTTTTCATTTTTAATAAAAATTAAGCTATACTCTTTGATCAATTGACTAGTGAATGACTTTAGATTTAGAATTTACTTTAATTTTAGAGGGTCAGGGCATGGCAACAATACTGTGTGTTGTGTCCTGGGGACCTGTGAAGGGTCTTGTGCAGGTGGGCCCTTGTACATTATCTCACAGAGTGAAGATGCTTTGTGCATTAATGCTGATCACAAAAATTAATAGGCACTTACTGTTTGTCGTAAAACGTAACCGCAGTGAACTTTGTGTTGACTTCTACAGATATACAATCCCTTACTAAGATGTGAACTTACTAAACATACATATTTGTAGCCTATTTTTTATGATGTAGCACGGCCATTTTCTGTGCCAGTGTGTATAGATATCTGTCTGGATCATGGCTGTCCAATAGAAAGATAATGCAAACCACAAATGTAATTTTAAATTTTCTAGTAACCACACTGAGAGGTCTTTTTTTCTGACGCCACTTCTAACACCATGTGGTTTTTCTTTGACACCAAATATGTGCTGTTTTTCCACACCAATTCTCTGAAACCAATCAGATGTCCAACAGTTCAATTCAGTTCTGACTCTAACCCCTGGGGTTAGTGCAGACCCTACAAATTAACAGCTCAGTCTCACCAGACTGCCCAACTTCAGATGCCGGTCACAAGTCCCAGGGGTCACCCTGTATTTCTGAATGACAGGCTATAAATTCAGAGGTTTCCATACCCCTCCTCAGGTTTGATAATTTGCTAGAGAGATGCACAGAACTCAGGAAAACACCTTACTTTCGTTTACCAACTTGTTATGAAAGATGCCATCAGGAACAGCCCCATGGAAGAGGCACACAGGGCAGGGTACTGGGAGGTGGAGGAATGAAACCTGGATCTTCCCTGTTCTCTCCGGGTGCCACCCTCCCAGAACTTCAAAGTGGTCACCAACCTAGAAGTTCCCTAAATCCTATCCTTTAGGGGTTTTTGTGGAGGTTTCCTTATGTAGGCATGATTGATTAAGTCATTGGCCATTGGTGATTGCATTCAATCTCCAGCTCCTTACCCTTCCCTGAAGATGAGGGGGGAGGTGCACTGAAAATTCAGACCCGGAATCATGTGATTTGTTTCTCCCCATCCAGTCCCCATCACCTCATTAGCATAAACTCAAGTGTGGTTGAGAGGGGCTCTTTATGTATAACAAAAGACACTCCTATTACCCAGGAAATTCTGAGAGTTTTAGGGACACTTACCAAGAACTGGGAATAAATATATTTTTCATTATACCATTATACCATGCACATTAAAAAAAAAGTAAAAAGAAACAGGTGACATTATTTTTAACAATATATTTTATAGTATCCACTGTATCCCAAATATTGTCATTTCAATATATAGTCGATATTAAAAAATACTTTCTAATTTTTGGGGCCTGCCCAGTGGTGTAGTGGTTAAGTTTGCATGCTCAGCTTTGGCAGCCCAGGGTTTGCCGGTTCGGATCCTGGGCGTGGACCTGTGCGCTGCTTGTCAGGCCACTCTGGTAGGCATCCCACATATAAAGTAGAGGAAGATGGGCACAGATGTTAGCTCAGGGCCAATCTTTCTCAAAAAAATACACCTTTTTTTTTTTCATCCCGTGTTTTCAAATTCCTGTCTGTTTTTTACACTTAAATAGCACATCTCAGTTTGGACTAGTCACATTTTAAGTGTCAGTAGCCACATGTGACAACTGGCTGCCATATTGCACAGTTCAGGTCTAGATCATCTCTTTCAATGGTAGCATAGTATTCCAATTTCATATCGGACATTTAGGTTGTTTCCAACCTGTAATAACTGTAGATATGTTGCAAAGAAGCTCTGATTAGCTTCCACTTTGAGTTACAAAAGATCCCCGAAATAGTGGCTTAAATAAGGTAGAGGCATGTTTCTGTCGTGTATGCATGGAAGAAGTGTGGAGGTAGGCAATCAGAGGATGGGGAGACCACAGCTAGTATTTTATTCTGTAGTCAGTGTGAGGCAGCTCTTCCTAGGGTTGTCTCTTCAGTTTAAGTTGGTTCTAGATCTTTTAACAGTTCCAAGCAGCGAAAGAGGAAAGAGGAATAAGAAGTCAAAAGGTTTCCTGGAAGTTACACAAAAACTTCCAGTTATATCTCCTTGACCAGAATTTAGTTTCTTGGCAACACCTAGCTGCAGGGAGGCCTTGGACAATGTCATCTTTTAGCTGGCTCAGTGCTAAAATCATGCCTTCTGTTAGGAAAGAAGAGGTGGAGGTTGGGTGGTAGGAAACCAGCACCCTGTGTTGTGATCCGTCTGCACAGACATCTTTGTGGACTTGCCTCATTGTTCCCTGAGATAAATTCCCAGACGCTCATTGCTGGTTCAAAGGGTTTACACCTTTATATTTTGGTTTAATTTGCCATTTTGCCTTTTGGGAAAGTTCTGCCTGTCTGTCCTGCCATCCCCAGCATCTGAGAGTGCTTGTTTCCCCACACATTTGCTGGTGACAGCTGTCTTCACTCTTTTTGCCAAGGTGAAAGGCAAGAAAGGCTCGTTAATTGTTCTTATTGGCATTCATTGTACTGCTAACGAGGCTGAGCATCGTATGATATACTTTCTGACCATTTCTATTTCTTCTTTGTAAATTGCCTTTTCAGTTTTTTTGACCACTTTTCAAAGGAATTTTTAAAAATCTTAGTGATTTATGAGTTTTTATAATATTTTAATTATAAGGATATTAATCTTTGGAAACTTGTGACAAATATTTTGTTTGTTGACTTTCAACTGTGTTTATGTAGCTGAGTCTGTCAGTGTTGCCATTTATGATTTTGGTTTTGGTATCACAAGTGGAAAGGGCTTCCCCATCTCAAGATTATTTTCTCCTAACACTTTTATAGTTCTTTTATTTCTATCTTTGCTTCTTTTTTCTTGATTTGGATAAATTCCATCCGGAATTTATTTTGATTAAACTTGCTCTCTACCGCTACCCTTGTAATTTTTCTAAATAGTAAAGCTATCAACCATGTGTCAAAATCTTTTTCCCACTGATTATTGATACACTTGGCATAAACTAATTTCCTATCTACAACTGAGTCTTTCTGAAAGTACTTTTGTTGGTTGATTTTTGCGTTAGGTAAAAATCACTTCATATTTCAATAATTTTTCAGCCTTATAATAAAGACAAAGGTGAAGAATCAAGTGAAGAAGGCAGTGAAGAAGATGCAGAGGTGGGCGATGAAACAGCAGAGGGAGCAGAAGTTAAACAAAGGTAAAAAAGCTTGGGGGCCATCAAAGTAGGCTTAGGAAACTTTTTACTTATTTATTTTTGGTGAGGAAGATTGGCCCTGAGCTAACATCTGTTGCCAATCTTCCTCTTTTTGCTTGAGGAAGACTGTCACTGAGTTAACATCTGTGCCAGTCTTCTATTTTGTATGTGGGCTGCCACCACAGCATGTTTTGATGAGCGGTGTGTAGGTCCACACCCAGGATCCAAACCCACCAAGCCCCCTGCTACTGAAGCCGAGCATGGGAACCTAACCACTATATCTCTGGGCTGGCCCCCTTTTTGTTCATTTTTACTATTATGAATAATTGAAGATTTCTTGAAATAGAGATAAGGTGCAGTTGAGAACAGTGCTTTTCGTAGTACTGTTTGCTTAGAGATTGTTACTACTTTAATTTTGTGATTATTTTTAGTGCGTGATGTTCTTCTATCTTGGTTTCATCCAGAGCTCTTTGGTTTTCAGAACTTACTGACGGTTGTATAGTTTGTTCTTTGACTAATGAAGTTCTCTAGCTGAGAATAGGCATAACCCGTCAGTGCACTCACCTTGCTCTTTTGTCTCCCCAGAGCTGATTCTCATTGGAGTGCTGTCCAAAAAGCCGTCTCAGAGGTTGGTATCTCCTGCCTTGTTACTGATGTCTCGTTTTCTCATCTCATACTTCTGAGAGTTCAGATTCAAAACGAGGTGGAGACTTTGGAAGATCACGTTGGATCTTGAACAGGGTCCGGGGTGTGAAATGTACAGGGCAGAGAACATATGTTTCTGGTTTATAAGCCTGTGCTCCAAGTAGCATTTCTCGTTAGGTCTTTTCTATGAGAAGACTAGATTTGAGGGCTTGGAAATATCTCCCATTGATTCTGCCTGAATTTTCTATCATTTGGGTAAAGACTGATGTTAAATTTTGGCTAATATGAAAAATTCCAAAAAGCTCAAAAAAGGAAGAAATTATCCATAATCCTCTCATTTAAAGAGTTACATAACAAAATGAAAATCCACTCCCTCCATAAGTAATCACCATTAACATTTTAGTAAGTATCCTTTCTGACCTTTTACCCTACTTATCGCTTACATGGACGTGCTCGTGCGTGTGTAAGTGATGTGTACACATATACAAAAAAACCATTGATTCTTCACTGCATTATCTGTTTATGGAATTAGCTCATCTGTTACGTGGCAGGACGTGTGGACAGGACAGGAGTAGGGACATTTGATGAGGGATGGGCAGGAAGCAGCTGGTTTGGAGCACAGAGCTCTGCCCACTGGGCACTGCATGGGGTTTAGGTCCTTGGGAGAGGCCAGGATTCAGTGATGGCGTCCTCTCAGGAATTTGGGATTAAATTGCTATATTCTTTCACTAAAGTCTGTACTTTTGTGTTTTCCTTTTTTGGGTTGGAGTTCTGTAGTGATAAAGAGAAAGGATTATAGAGGTGAGGAAAGATGAATGAAAACAAGCAAATCAATTCTGTTTTTACTGTCTTCAGCAGATAAACACTGTTGATGTGTTAACCACGATGGGAGCTATTCCGGCAGGTTTCAGGCCTTCTACTCTCTTCCAGCTTCTGGAGGAAGGTAACAGGTGGCTGTCAGCCACCACACACTTTTAGTTAAGCAGTGAAGCTTTACATCTAATTCAGTCCTTTCCTCTATCTTCACCCCCCCCCCCCCCCCGCCCCGCTGCCCACCCCCCTCACCAGCTCCTTCCCTCATCAGTAGTACTAGCGTGCCTAATACCTCCCCACTTTAAGAACCAGCCCTCCAACCCTATCCCATTCTAGCTGAAGCCTCACTTTCTCTACTTTTCTTCATAGCAAGACTTTTCCAAAGGGTTATCTCCATTACATTTCTGTTTCTTATTCATTCTTGGATTTCCCTGTACTTGGCCATGCTTGTCCATAAGCTCATTTTACAGAGGAACAGTGTCGGGGGAAGGCTTTCCTGTACATGCCCTGAGTTGTGTTATCTGGAAGGGCTGCTCTGAGGTTGCCTCTGCTGGGAAGGCTCTGCTAAGCCCTCCTTGAGTGCCCAGCCCCTTCTCATCCTTGGGGTCTCAGGGTAAATTCCTCCTTCCCAGAGATGCCTTCCTAATAATGCAGGTTCCCCCACTCCCATCCACTTGAGCACCCTTTATAGGTCTAAGTCACCCTATAATTATTTTACTGCTCCTTTTGTCTACCTATTTTTTTAAATTGTTTCCTCCACTCGGCTGTAAGCTAATGAGGGCAGGGCCGTATTTCTCTGATGCATATTTGTATTTCTGGCTCCTAGTACCTGGCACAGAGTAGGAACTCAGAAATGATTTCTTGAGTGAATAAATGAGTTTGTAATGTGTTCTTCATGACTAAAGTATGGAGGAACTTTATAAAAATGCTTTTGTGTTAAGAAGTGAAATTAGTGATTATGTATTTTTTCTAAAATCTCCAAAAATTGTTTACAGATTTTCTGCGTTTTACAAAAATATTTGAATGGATGATCTTCATCACAGGGCATGTTATCGGGCTAAGTCTTTAAGATCTTTCTTAAAGCGCTTTAAGATCAGCTCTGGTGTGCTTCTATCTTTATGTTTCCTGCTGCTGTTTTATGCGTAAATCTCTATTGGGACGTCTGTCTTAGAAAGCAGGTTCCTAGTAAGCAGCTTGGCATTTGGATTTCTGTTTGCTAAGTTTGTGGTATAACATCATGGATTTTGATTTTGAATTTCATTCCTTTCTTTGTAAGAAAATAAAAGAAACATTATTTTCACAGGGAATCAATTTCGAGCAAGTTACTTCTTACAGCCAGAGCTCACCCCTTCACAGCTGGCCTTCAGAGACCTGATGTGGGATGCTAAAATGGGCACTGTGAGTAAGGGTGCTATCAGGAAAATGATGACGTTTCCAGATTTTGTCATGGTTGCAAGCATACAAATAACATGTACATTGATTAATGCATTATAGGAAACAGAAAAACATTGTTTCTGTATTGTAATTTTGAAACACTTAGTGATAGTTTGATAGCTAAGGCAAAACTTGGATTTGTTACCTTGACTGCGTCTTGTTTCTCTTCTCCATTGCTGTCTTCTCCCGTTGTTACAAAGAAAATAATACTAGGAGTCTATCTTAACCATTTTTGCTTCAATTTATTCATTTATAAAAAGGGAATAATAATAATACTTCCAACATAGGGTTATTGTGAGAATTACATTGTACGTGTGAAGGGCTTAGAACAGTGCCTGGCACTTGATGATAACTCAGTGAATGTTAACCAGTGTCATTAGCAGTAGTAAGTTACTTTAATTAAGTAGGAGTGAGGAAGTTGGCAGTACTTTGTGATTCTGCTTTTTGGGGAGAGCTTAGAGTAGAAGATGCCTCGTATCCCCAGTATCTGAAGTAGGACATACTCTTGATACTTAATTCTGCACTCCTCCTTTTTAGCAGATGTGAGCCATGTTAGAGCACATCGCTCCCCTTCCTACGCGCCTTCTGCTCTCCCGCCTCCTCCCCCGGAGGCTCGGGGAAGAATAGGAGGACCCAGTGTGGGCACGCTTTGTGGGGAGGGTGGGCAGGATTTCACTGCCCTCTTTACTCTCAACCTCAGCATTGCCTGGAACCTTCTTAGGATTAAGTATCTTTTGTTGCAAGTCCACAAAGATGTTGTATTTGGTCTGTTTAGTGAACTAGTACTTGAATAATGGCATTTTAATGTTATGAGCTTCTACCCTGAGAACTAAATATTCAGCTCTCATTTCTTAAAAAGTTGACAAGCTGTTAGATATTGTCTTATTTTTTCAATAATATAAGTTATTTAAATGGAAAGGCTCATGACTAGAAAGCAGAATGTTAAGAGCTGGAGATATTTTTAAATAAGAAACCAGAATGCCAATATATTTATTGACATTCTGAAATATACCTGTGAAGTAGAACTGAATAGTCATATCCAGTGGCAGTGCATTGTCTCTGTCAAAACATCTGTATAAGAGGACATCAGGCCACCCTGGTGACATGGTGGTTAAGGTCATGTGCTCCGCTTTGGCAGCCTGAGGGTTAGCAGGTTCGGATCCTGGGCGCAGACCTGGCACAGCTCGTCAAGCCACGCTGTCATGGCATCCCACATAAAATGGAGGAAGGTTGGCATAGATGTTAGTTCTGTGACAATCGTCCTCAAGCAAAAAGGAAGATTGGCATCAGATGTTAGCTCACGGCCAATCTTCCTCACCAAAAAAAAAGAAGCCAAGGAACAATGTAGATAAATGCTTAAATTAAATTAGAACAAGGAGGAGGGAGGAGCTGGCTGGATAATACTGATGCCGGGAGTCATTGGTTCTATGCTGTGGTGATCTTCTACACTGGCCCACGTTGTGTAAGAATGAACTGTAAGCATGAACCTGGAGTAGTGATTCCATGGTCAGGTCATACATTTTACCTGATTGTACTTACTGTTCTTTTCATTACAGTTTTTTTTTTCCTTTTCCTTTTTCTCCCCAAAGCCCCCTGGTACATGGTTGTATATTCTTAGTTGTGGGTCCTTCTAGTTGTGGCATGTGGGACGCTGCCTCAGTGTGGCTTGATGAGCGGTGCCATGTCTGCGCCCAGGACTCGAACCGATGAAACACTGGGCCCCCTGCAGTGGAGCGTGCGAACTCAACTACTCGGCCACGGGGCCGGCCCTTTCATTACAGTTTTTAGCTATTTACCTAAAAGATGCAAATATTTCAAATAGGAATATTTATGAAAAATTTAACTTAAGTTTTGACTTGAACAGACTATTGAAACTTTTCTTATGAGTGTATGTTTGTGTGTAAAATTTTTCCTTCTGTTCTTTTTTATTTTATGTACATTTTCTTAAGTATTTACAAAAGATGCTTTGAAAATGAATTTGTCTTATAAGTCATAAAAGTAAACCTTTTTTTATAACTAATTTTTTTCTCAGATTAGGTCGAGACCAAGTCGTGTTTCATTGATTCTGACCCTCTGGAGCTGTAAAATGATTCCTCTTCCAGGAATGAGCATCCAGGTTCTGAGCAGACACGTACGCCTCTGTCTGTTTGATGGTAATAAGGTGAGCTCACTGAGGAGTTAAATCAAGTCACACAGGATGGAAAACATTTTGTTAATGCCACACATTAAACATGTACGGCATGAGGTCTTTGTGTGTGTTTGTGAGTGTGTGTGTGTATAAGTATATGTATGTATGTGTGATATGTATAATGTAAAATAACGTGGTAGAGTGCAAACCGCATGCCGTCTGATGACGTAGACTTAACTCCTGGCTCTTTGCGCTTGCTGAGTGTGTGATGTTGGTGCATCACAATTAACTCCTCTGAGCCTTATATTGTTCACCTACCAAAAGGTTCTGATGCCCGTCGTCTAGTATAGTATACAGTTCAGATCTTAAGTGTACAGAGTATTGCATTTTTGACAAATGTACACACCTATATATAACCAACATCCCAATCAAGATATGGAGCATTACCATCACCTTACAAAGTTTCGTTGTGTTCTTTTTCGTTCTACTCCTCCCTGATTCCTAAGAGCAATTCTTTTTTTTGGTGAAGAAGATTGGCTCTGAGCTAACATCTGCTGCCAATGTTCCTCTTTTTGCTTGATGAAGATTGTAGCTGAGCTAACATCTGTGCCAGTCTTCCTCTATTTTTTTGGATGTGGGACACTGCCACAGCATGGCTTGATGAGCGGTACATAGGTGTGTGCCCAGGATCTGAACCCGTGAACCCTGCGCTGCCAAAGTGGAGTGCCCGAACTTAACCACTATGCTATCGGGCTGGTTCCTAAGAGAATATTTTTTACCCAGTACTAAGCAAAGAATTTGAATGACTCTTAAAAATTCATTGAGGGGCTGGCCTGGTGACATAGTGATTGAGTTCATACGCTCTACTTCAGGGGCCTGGGGTTCGTGGGTTTGGATCCTGGGTCTAGACCTACACACCACTCATCAAGCCATGCTGTGGTGGTGTCCCACGTAGAAAAAATAAAGGAAGACTGGCACAGATGTTAGCTCAGGGACAATCTTCTTCAAGCAAAAAAAGGAAGATTGGCAGTGGATGTTAGCTCAGGGTCAGTCTTCTTCACTGCCCCCCAAAAGAAATTCATTGATTTGTTTGTGAGATGCAGCTTAAA